TGGCGGTGGGTAATCAAACAAAATCAGGCCAGGCATCGAATAGTCATAAGCTCCTGTCCGTCCGGTCATTCTTAATCATTTTTCCCTTTTCTTAACTCTATTGTTTGAATTGGTGAAATAATCGTAAGTTCACAAAAATTAATTTTCGAGGGGGTTTTGATTGAATAGTTGAAATTCTTTGTTTCTCTTTCCTTTTTCATTTTTAGTCTTTTTCTTTGTTTTTAATTTCACCGCTGGAAAAGTAAAATAAGAGAATATTTTTCCCAAAATTCAAAGGCCGCAAAAAAAACAGAAATTAAGGAATATTTCGTTTTTCTCTTATCTCCTACTATTCTTAATCTTTTCTCCCATTTTTAATTTAAGTACCAAAGTTGACAAAAATTTGGGTTGTCATTCCAGCTCCGGTCATACCCCGCAAAGGCATTGCGTTGGGAACAGTTCCCGCGATGCCTCCCCGCAGTCGGCCATTCGAGGCCTAGCCTCGTAACGGGCTGAAATAACGGTCCCTAGCTATGTCGGGAGCGGCTACCCATATCATCATCTTTGAGCGTTACTCGTAAGGTCCAGTGCGCCCAAAATCAGGGGTGCCCTGAGTTCCCCTAATTTTTGCTGCCTGGTCAAACCAGAGTACCGTCCAAACTCGGACTTGTTTTTGTGCCTAGGTCCCAAAGCCGAGGATTTCAAGCGGCCCATCCCTTGTGGCCGCCTGACAGTTAGCCCGAAACTCTTCTCGACGCCCCCGTCGAGCCCTGACCGCTTACGTCAAACGAAGCGGACGAGCTTCAGGGTGATTGCCCATAAAGGACGCCCACGTCGGCGTTTAATTGTCTTATGTTTCAGTTTGTTATGAGTTCGGGGGCTTAGAAGATGTTTCTTGACTTTCCTTTTCCTTCGGGATTTTGACCTTGGTCGGATTCTCTTTTTCTTCTGGCGTTGGCCCGAGAAAGGTGCCGACCCACCAGTTTGTCTTATGCGAACTCTCCGTCTGACCCTCTTGAGCACGAATAACCATTTCTTGTCTCTTCCTAATGCCAACCCTTTGACCTTCCTTCTCTCCACTCTTTTCCTCTTCTTGGAACTTTCCCCTGCCTCGAATCGTCTCGAGGGGGCTCCATCCTCCATCTTGGCCTTCCCTTTCCCTTTCGGGCCTTTCAGCGATAAGGTGGGTGCAGGCCTGGGTCTAAACAACTTTAACCTAGCACCCGCCACTGGGTCCTTCCACTTGGATTCGTCTAATGCTGCTATCATGTAGGCACCCCAGTCGAGTGCCTCAACCACTCTGTAAGGTCCCATCCATCTGTTGGCGAGTTTTCCGGTCTTGGTCCTTTCCAGTACTACGTCGTAGAGAAGGACTATATCTCCTACGCCGACCCTCTCTTTCCTCATCCGCACGCCCTTATCCCATCTCTCTTTACCTTTGTCCCTCTCCACTGCCAGACGATCTGCTGTTGTCATAAGGTTGTCTTCCAAACCGTTGGCTATCTGTCTTGTTCGGGCAGCTATGAGTTCCTCTTTGGACATCCTTTCCGCCCAGTCGACGGTTGTCCAGCTGTCGACATGAAACTCTATGGGGAGAGGACAATGCCGCCTGAACCACAAGGTGTATGGTGGGTATCCAGTGCTAGCCCGGACCGTGACGTTGTCCGCCCACATTGCGTATCGAAAATATTGTGGCCAATCGCTGTCCTTACCTTTGCACCACTTGGATAGTGACGCTATCAGAGTCTGGTATCCCCTCTCTACTGGAGAGTTCGACTGTGGGTGGTAGGCGGTGGCTATCGAAACTCTCGCCCCGACTCTCTTGAACACACTCTGCACCTCGTCAACTAGAAATTCGCCCCTCTATCCATCACTATCTTGTTGACACATCCATACCTAGATAAGTACTATAGGACGAAGTTCTTCACTTCCCTTGCCGACTTACTCCTGATAGGTCTACCATCCACGAATCCAGTGAAGTTGTCTCGTATGTTCACAACATAGTTCAGATTGCCTACTCCTTTCGGCATCTTCACCAGATCGATATGTACCTTCTCTCCTGGCCTGGTCGGATAGGATGGATGAAGTGGCTCTTTGTATTTCACAAGAGTTCTCTTCTGGCACTCCTCGCAGGTTATACAGTATCTCTCGACGTCCTTATACTGTCCCTCCCACCAATACAGTCTGCGTACCTCTTCGTAGGTTCCTTTGACTCCTCTATGTCATCTGACTACCCCGTCTTGAAGCTCCGCAACTATCGTCTGTCTCTCTTCAGGATCATAGACTACTCGTAAGGGCTTCCCCGACCCGACTGGTCTTCAGAATAGATGGCCCGCTCTAAGGCATTACTGGGCTGCTTGTCTCCGAATATCTGAACCTTGACTCTCCTCTCCTGACAAGTGTAGCCCGATCGTTCGGTATTTGTCCTCGTAAAGGTTAACCAGAAATCGATCGGCGCGTCTCGGCTCCGCCATTGTCAGGGCTCCAACTACTATCGGGCACTCGGCCTCAAGAGGGATCCGAGAAAGCCCATCCGCCACGACAGTTTTAGTACCCGATATTCTCTCAACTGTGTAATCATACAGTCAAATCCGTATTAACCATCGTGCGATGGTCGGGTCCGTCAGACAGAAGTCCTTCTGGAGGACAGAGGTAACCGTTGTGGGATCTACTCTCAAGATGAACCGTCGTCCGTAGATATAGTGTCTGAACGTGTCTAGACACCGCAGAACAACTAACACTTCCTTCTTGAATTGACTCTAGTTACGCTAAGCCGTATTAAGTGTCCTACTATCAAATCTTAACAGCCTTTCCTTCCCTTCAGCATCCTTCCGAGACAACAGCACACCAACTGAACAAGGTCCAGCATCCGTGGATACTATGAAGGGTCTCCCGGCCTCATCATCAAAGAACGGCACGCCCAGCACGCGCCCTCCCTCCTTAAATTCATCTTTAAGTTCTTCAATAGCGAGTTCCTGAGAAGAATCTCAGTAGAATTTCTCAGTCTTCCGAAGGAGTAGCCTCAAAGGCTAAGCCTTCTCTGCATACCCCCGTATGAAAATCCGCCAGTAGCCGACCACCCCCAGAAACTGTCGGACCTCGGTAGCACTATGTAACGGTGACGACCAGTTTAGGAGTTTGTCTAACTTTGCAGGATCCGCTCGGCGTCCTCTCGGGTCGCAGATAAAGCCTAAGATCTTTATATCGAGATGGCCCATCGGCTCTTTGTTCCGCTGACCGTCAAATTTGCATCGTCTAACTGCTCGAGTACTGCGCAAATATTGGTTAGGTGCTGCTCGACGAATCTCCTAACTCCCGGTACAACTTTTGTCTTATCTTTCTCTACGGGTCCTTTTATAGGGAAGTCATCCAAAAAAACTTCAACCTTGCCAGGAATAAAGTCCTTGAGGACGGCTACCATGGCTCTCTGAAAAACGGCTACCCCATTAGTCCAACCCATAGGGACGACCATCATCTGTATTAGTCCCAATGGCGTGTGCATAGCCGTGAGGTGCCTGTTCCTAGGATCAAGCGGTACCTCATCATAGCCCGAGAAAAGATCACAGACTGAATAAATCGACCTGCCCGCGACGCCTTCAGCCAGTAAGTCGGCGTGAGGCACGGAGCCTATGTCCCGAATCGTCACCGCATTGACCTTTTGCAGGTCCTGGATCCACCGGATCTTGCCATTCGGTTTTCGTAGGAAGAACCATCGATTAGCATAAGCGCTGTTAGATGGCTCTGCTACATGAGAAGCCATCTTTTCTTTTAGAAAAACGATAACCTCTTCCTTCTCCTTCTGGCGTATTTCCATCCTGCGTCATTCCATGCAACATGTGGAATCGTGTAAATCCTTGCTGGCTTAGCGTAACGAGGGTCAACCCTACCGTGCTCCGCGTCGCTGAAAGCTATAGCCTTATCGCACGTCTTTAAGATTTCTATCACACGTTCCCGCTCCTGTGGGGTCAGATTTCCATCTCCGATGTCCATCCATGCTATCCTCTCTTCCCTTATGTGTTGCGGCTCCTTTTTCTTTCTTTCTTTGATTTCCTTTGCGATCTCTTCTTCTGATATCCCTTCCAGTGCAGGTCGCTCGCGGCTCACCGCCGCTCGCTTAACTTTCTGGGCTACTCGCTTGTGTCGCTTGGGTAGCCCCCCATAGGGGGCAGTGCCCTTCAAAAAGACACAGATACCACGCCGCCAGACTCCTCATCTGCCTCTTTTGAATACAAGTTGCCGTCCACTATTAGCCGACTCCCTAAATCTTTCACTTCTACAATCCGGCCTTCTTCTTCTGAGAACAGAGGTTCATACTTCTTCTTGGGAAATCGCACCGCGAGGCCGGAGATAGGTAATGACTTAATCCGATCACTGGGTCCCTCACCCACAGCGAGAGCTGCTCTGTTCCTCGGGTCTCGAGGCTCCACCGTCTCAATCATAACCCGCGTCTCATCTAGCTTCTTAATGGACAGTGTCTGGCTCTCGTCCGATCGCTCTATCATCATCGCATGCACATGGCTCAACCACGTCCGTCCCAAGAGCAGGTCAGAGTTGCAGTTCTTGACTGCAAAGACTGGCATGGTCACTCGTACCCCTTGGATCTCTATGGCTGCCTTATAACAAACCCATGTGATCTGTTGCTTTCTCCCATCAACCGTCTCTATCTCCAATAGGTATGACCTATCGAGTCCCATTCCAACTTGCTCTGCCAGATCCTCGTCTATAATGACAGCCTCACTGTCGTTATCAATCACAACATCTAGAACCGCTCCGTCGTTTAGGATTGCCTCCACAGTCCCACTTCCAGGTATGTAAAACTTGTCTGGAGGCACGCCTTCCATCCCATCAAGAAGAACTGTCGCCATGCGATCTGCTCTAGCTGTTACCTCTGATACTGCTACAGTAGGAGCATCCGCCTTAGGGGTCACCTGAACCTCCTCCGATAGAGGTATGCGAGTCTTCTGCGTGATCATCTATAACTCGTCGCGATCCGGCTTGGATGCTGCCAGATATTCCAGAATAGAGCACGGCATGGGCTGCCGAAGGGCCCGTCTCAGTGGCTCGACCGTGTCAATATCATCCAGCGAACTCTTCATCAAGAACTTCTTCACTCCCCGCTTTCGCGGTGAAAGAATAACCTCCTCTCCATCGATTCGTTATCCATCCTTCTCTGCCATCACGTAATCCGTATCGGTCTTCCTCGATGTAGACCCCCTCGCCGACTTGGTAGCTGTCACCCTTATGGGTGTGGTTGCCATATCTCCTTCAAAAGTTATCTTGATGCTCTGGCTCATAATCGACTCCTTTCCTTTACTCGGGCTTACTCTCCTTGCTTCAACATTCTACTTCATCGAAGGGAACATTGATATATCTCCCAGATCATCTGCCCACTTGACGTACTTGCGGTCATCAAGCACGACAAGTCCCTCATCTATTGCTCGCTTGAGATCCGGGCAGTCTCTCTTGATATGATCATCTCCTCTACAGTAGACGCAAGAGTTCCTGGGAGTGGATGACCTGTCGTCTGCGCTCTTAGAGATCGAACCCCTGGCTGCTCTAGGGTCAGGGGACTTCGGATACAGATCAGATGACGCGCCATATCCCCCTCTCTCATTCCGTCCGTGCGAATCATTTCGGCGGTCTCCAGGGTCGTATCGCCCGCGTGACTCATCGCGTCGATCTCCTCGGCCGTACCACCCTTGCGAATCGTCACGTTGAGTCCTCGCGAATCCCCCGCGGTCATACCGTCCGCGCGAGCCATCTCGTTCATCTCTGTCTTGATCTCCTCTCTCATATCTGCCACCCCTGTTTCCATCTCGACCCGACCTCTTATATCTGTCGTCCCTGTATCCATCTCGGTCCAACCTCTCATATCTGTCGTTCCTGTATCCGTCTCGTCGGCCCTGATCTGACTCCCACCGACCTCGAGAGTCGCCTCTACCCCCATCAACCTCATAACGAGGGCTACGCGAGTAATCATCCAGTCTCCAAGCTCGTCCATACATCTCGCGAGCCCTGCGGTCCCGGTCTATCTCATTATCCCTACGTCGCCATGGCTCATCATCTCTCTCCCACTCCCTCGCACGATAATCAGTTAGCGTTCGAGGATTTCTATCCTCGACACTCCTCCAGGAATCGGTGTTCCTACGGTCCCAGCGAAGTGAATAGGGCCCTTCGGGTTTGTCCCGGTAAGTCGTGGCTCCTGTGCTAGTCACAATCTCTGTAACCTGTCTTGTCAATCCCTTTACCATGTCCCTTATCTCCTTCACTTACTCGGCCACCGCTCCATTCTTTTTCGACCTGGGATAGTCCTTGAAATCAGGACACCTATCAGTGACATACTCCTTATAAAGAGAGAAGTCACGTCTCCTCATTCCCCTCCATACCAAGTCCTTGTAGTCGTCTGCCTATGCCTTTATCGCGAGCTTTAGGACTTTAGGGAAATCAAGTTTGTCGCGCGGGAGATCTCTAAGTATACTCTTTTGTCTACCTTTGGACAGGTGTCCAATGAAGATAGTGCAACGCTCGACTTCTGAGATTTTTCCCTTCTTCATCAGCACGTCAGAGATCTTCTAGAAACGCTTCCCGAATGCCCGTACACTCTCGTCCTCATCTTGAGTCATAGTCTCAAGGTCCTTGATGGAGTACTTGTTATCTTCTAATTTGTAAAGCTTAATGAGGTTCTTCTTATACGTAGTCCATTGCCCATCCTTCAGTCAGGCTTCCTTAACTTCCTTGCCGAGACCTGGATCTACATTAAATAGGAAGTTCTCTATAATCTCTTCCTCCGACCACTGACTCCGGCTAGTATGAAGCTCCCACTTCTCCAGATATTCTGTGATACCATAACCCTTGAAAGTAGAAGGCTCAGAGACCTTGTGCGTAATAATATAGCGATCTTTGCTTTCGTAAGGGAGCGGATGTGACTCCCCCGTCTGGGAGTCGAAGACACACTGGAGCGATGCTTTATCCCTGTCCCTGTCCCTCCAATAGGAATCTCGTGGACTCTCTCTCCAGTCGTCCCTGCGTCTATCCGCTCTGGTTTCTCTCTGTTCATACTCGGGGGAGCGTCGTGTCGTCGCTTCTCGTCGAGCGCTTGAAGTCCCAGTCTTCAAAGTCTCCTGCGGCTCTGTCATGACCGGCTCACCCGTTACGTAGGGTTCTGCGTCATTGGTTTGGTCAGCCCATCTCAGCAGTGCTCCCTGCCTAATTCGTTCCTTCAGATCCCTCAGTGCTCGGTCGGGCGATGTCTTGTACTCCTCTCCTGCTTCGCCCGTGGTCGGTTGTGGCCCCATCGTGTCTGGCTCCATAGGCTACCAGAAGTTGTAGTCGGGCACTTACGCCAGGCGTTACAGCCCGGACCTATGACAGTTGCAGCAGCCCAGACCTGTGACAGAACTTGCAGCCCAGACCTGTCTACTTTTCACGGTTCGCGCTCGTCTCCAATACTAGCTCTCGACTGTCCTGATTACCGCCACCAGTACTCCGTTCCGGTCGCGGACCTCGTGCTCACCTTCTATCCTAAGAATCCCTGTGTCTATGTAAACCTCTTATTTTGGATCTGCCAACAAGGTCGCGCCTCTCCTGATTTGCACTATACCCGTGACAGGATCTCTACACCTGCTGCAGATCGCAGTCCCAAGCCTAACCAATGTCTCCTGACTGACACCCCTCAAGAGTCCTCGAGCATCCATCTCCGTCCTCCTCACTAGATCATCTAGTCCGTCCTGAATCAGGTAGCCCGCAAACGAAGGAAACTCTCCTCCTACTGCCATCTAAAACCGCCCATCTGACCTCACTGACCTCCACTATCTTTCCAAGAGCTTACAATCTCTGTCTCTCCTCCTCTAACTCCCAGGCAGCTTCAAGACCATTTGTCTAGCATTTGAGGAAAGTCAGTGCTATAGTCGCTCGTTATCTCATCACCGACAACTCCAATATCTCATAGAACGTCTCAAAATCCCTCTCATCTCCACTATCCTCTATGGCCTCTAAAGTCTTTATCGATTCCCTCCAGTATCGGTCGTGAGCAGCTAGCACCCTGAGTATCGCTCCGTCTACTTCAACTCTCCCTAGCTCCCCAACCCTCGTAGCTTCGCTTATCTTTAACCTCTCAGCCTCTTTGGGCGTCTCGTACCACGCCCTTATCAGAGGTCGCCCATCGAATGGTGTCGTACGTAATTCGTACTTTATCCTTCGTCCTCCTTCCACTCCAATCCAAAGTCCTATTCCCCTAGCCTCCCGCAATGCACGACGAACATACTCTGCCTCCTCAACTATGCACAACCTGGTATGGACCTGGAGCTCTGCGATCACTAACACCAACGGTCCGTTCAGTCTCCCTACCACATGCAATGAGTACATGTCTGTCGTGTGTAGTGCAGTCCCGCTCATGTCCTGTCGCTATCCCCCTGCGTTACCTTGTCCTCCGTTGTTACATCCTCTGCAGACTTTCCCTTAGCTCCTTCGCGTGATAGGTTTCTCGCCTTTACCCTCTCCACAAAGTCTGATCTCCACGCCTGGATTAACTCTCTATCTTCTCGGAACAGACTCTCTAACTCTTTCGTCGCGAGCTCAACCCTACGCAGCTTGCCCTCTTCCTGGCACGAACCGTTCTCCCTTATCTTATTTCCCAACTCCTTTACCTGGTTCAAGAGTGGTTCTTTAATGCGCTTTCTTACTCTTCCGACCGCCTCACTTTCCTCTTCCATACTCTGTCCACATCCTTTTCCAGTTCATCCTCATACCCTCGCTTAGTCTCTGCTACCGTCTCATTGTGGTAGTGCTCCACGCGTATATAACCATGAGACCATACCATCACATCATAGAAAATCGAGGTCTGGAAGGTCACCTGCGCCAGCACATCAGCCCTATGTTTGCGGATCAAATCCCCGGCTTGTAGTCGGCACTCCCTCACCGTCAAGTCCTCATCTATGTATACTCGGTGAAGTACCGTCACAGTGTATCCTGTGCTTACCAGTTGCTTATCTAAGCGCATCACAGTTGCCATTCTCCCCGACATTCCCTAAGCTGGGACCTCGAAGAGAAACCTCACGTCCTCAAGCCCCACATAATCAATCTTCGCTCGTCTCTTGCAGTACCTAATCAGATCTACTGGCCTCAGACAGTCCACCCAGCAAGTAGCGTCTATGATGTCGCCAAGCGTCTCTCTGCTGGGTGGCCCCCATCGTACACAAATGGCGTAGTACGCTTCCCTGAAACGAGGAGCCAAACCCTCCCAAAGCGCGTAAAGTGTGTGGTCCGCTTAGACGGTCTACGCTCCCGTAGGTCCGCCCTATTACGAACGCAGGAAGTCCAAATCGCTAACCCTCTTTCGGGTAGAAGGTCGGATGCGGAGGTCCGTATACCAAGCGACTCTTCTACAACCTCCCTCCCGAGAGTCTCGCCAGTTGCTGATTAACGATCACTCTGGCCAGCAACTCATTTCTCCACCAAGCCCTGCTAGCCCTTGCCAGCATCAGCCCTATGTCTAAATCATGAGCTCTGTCCATTATCAGATGTCCCACCCCTTCTAGGTCATGAGTCATTTCGGGTCGTCTATCTTTCAGTATCACCGTCCAAAGGAAAAGTCCCTCAGCCAGACGTGTTCCAAGGTAACGTATCGGAACACAGTCAATCTTTTCTAACCTCACAGGAAGAGGAATATCATATCCAACAGCCGTCTCTCTGGGTCTTACAAGTTTCCTCACGCTATAGGATTCGGATTCTCTCGTGAGAGAACATAAGCCAGCCAAGCTGCCGAGTCACTCCTCATCACTCAAGCTAACTCATCAACTCAAGTCGTCCAATACCTATGACCTAAGTCCTTGACAGTAGGGCCTCTCGTTCCTTCGCTCCCAGTTCCAGTCAGTGACTGACGGAGCAGGAATCTCTCTGTCTCTCACTGAACTCCATCCCCAGACGAGGCCAATGGATGCTATCCTCCTATCGCGCAGAAAGGGGTATGTCGATCCCGAGCGCGGTCTTCCAATAACACCTATGCCCACCATGCACTCGAATCACTCATCATTCCCCCTCGCCACTCGATCTGTATCACTCGACTCTCTTTGACGCACACGATCTCTCGATGTTGCTAACTCCTCAGACAACTCTACCACTCAGGCTCAGTATGGTCGAGTAGGTGTTGTGCACTCTCCCGTCAGCTCCATGGAAGTAGATGGTAAACTCGACGTATCTCTGGTCTCTCCGTATCTCCAGGGCATGCTCCGTCATGAGTCTGATTTGTCGCGCAACATGGTCCAACGCCTCTTCTTGCCACCCCCCTATCCTATCTCGCTGCAAGGAAAGGGTCACTCTCAGTGTGTCTCTGTCCGCCATCTCTATCAGTGCTTACTGTTATTCCTGCCTCGTCTGAGGTTATTTCCTTGTGTCTATCATCTGACACCCCTCTACTCCGGCTGTACACTATGCCCGGTTATGCCCTATCCTTCATTGTCTCCCGCGTCTGGCATACTCTCGTCCACGTCCTCGTCTCCGTCTGCATCCACAGCCCGGCCCCAGGGGATATGCTTCTGTCCCTCGGCCTGAGCTAGATGCCCCCAACCGTCGCTATCCGGTCTGTCTAAATCGACATCAAGGTTGTCTTGCCCAGCGTCTGGCACGTCTCTCCACGGTCTCTCGTCCTGTCCCGAAGGCTCTGCGTCGCTGAGATGTTCCCAACCTCGATCATCGGCGTCCCAGCCGAGCTCCTCTCTATTTGGATATATCCCCTGGTAATGCTCCTCCAACTCCCAAATAGAGATGAGGGAAGCAGGCCTATCACCGGGAGTCTCGCTAAAGAGCCGTCCGACCCCCTCCAAACTATCCACTGGTCTCTGGACCTCCCTATCTAGTGCCAGCCAGAACTCCAAGGGCTGGCCCGAAAAAAAAGAGTGGGGGTCTGGTGTAGGCGCTAGAGTACGTAAGAACTCAATGAGTTGTATCCCTCTCTTTCCAGTTAGAGGACCGCCTACGAACTGTGCGTAGGCAATCCAGTCCCTGTCCGTCTGCCCTCTAGCTAGTCCGTCGAGCTCTAGAGCCGCGAAATATCTCTCCAAGACGCACCGCAAGCCCCAAAGATGCTCCACTACAAAGATCGGGAACCTGGCGCGCAGCCAGACTGTCGGGAAAGCAAACCCTCCTATCCGAAACGTAATCCTCGTCTCCCTGACAGGTCCATACAGATCCTCAATCCCCTCTCGTGCACTCTCTATCACGCCTGTCAGGATCTCTCTCACCTCTCTCTCATACCGCCAGAACCCATGCACCAAGCCCTGGGTATAAACGCCGCCGCTCACCTCACGTGAGTAATAAATGTGCCCTACGGCCTCTATGGACGTCGTGTCGGACGCCTGCCACCTCTGCGGATCAGACTCGTAAGTCTGAACGGTATATGACCATAGGTGCACGTCTGGCCCCAGCCGAGTCGACCGCCAATGGTCAATCAGCCCTGGCTCAGCGACGCATCTGGCAGGTAGATCAAGCTCCACCAAGTCAGGAGTTATGATCTCGGGCGGTCTAGGCCATCTGAAATCACCAAAGGGTAGGTCGACTCTCTCGATCTCCTCTACCATCTGCCTGCAGGATCTCCTATCTCTCTCTCTCACTCTACTGCCGAATCTCACGGCTAGCCTAGCTCGCACTCGCCTTCCCTCACACTTCGCCTAGGCCCTAATCGGTACCCCTATCCGCGGGAAGTGCGCATCCACCGTGTCGTCCTCCTCCTCCTCGTCAACCTCACTCTCTGGGTCGATCCAGTCCGGCTCCCAGGCGTCCTCGTCGTCCTGTCGCTCCCATCCCTCGTCGTCGAACTCGTCCTCGACGCGATATGGCGCATGTCCTATAGCCTGGTAATACTCCGCCAACTGATAGCCGTGTATCAGAGGTCGCCCAGCGTCCTCACTCCACCAGCTACCCCAGTCGTCTGAGAAGAGTCTCCCGATACAGGTCACGTACTCGGGGCGTTCTCGAAGATCACGGTCCAGCCAATCCCAAACGCACGGTGACTGGGGTCACTCGTCGTCTATTGAACGGATCAGCTCTATAAACTGAACTCTCTCGTCACCCCAACGAGGCTCACCGGTCGCAAGCGGATAATAGAGATAGTCGAGGTCAACGGGCCCTCTGGCAAGGACCTTGAGATCCTGATAGGCTAAGTATGCCTCGACTACCCCGCCTATTCCTCCAAAGATGGTCTCTACAACCAAGGCAGAGACTTTTGCCCGCAGACTCGAAACGTTGTACGGGAAAAACCGGTCTTGCGCTATTACAAGTTCGCTCGTGATATCAAGTGGAGGGCGTCCGTGGAATAACGTCAACCGGTCGCTCGAGTCCTCCGCTCGGAAGGCGGTGACCTCGTCCCTCAGGTAGCGTAAAGCCCTGGGGTAACCGCGTCACTAGTCCCCGTCGTCGCGAGGCTCAGCGCGGCCTCCTTGACCGCGTCCGGTCCTAAGTACAGGTAGGCTCTCACTACGCCCACCCCGTGTCCAGGCCGGTGCTCTCTGTGCGTCCAAAGCCACACGTCCGCAGACAAGACAATGGACCTCCACGCAAACTGGCCGTCAATATATTGAGCGTTGCGCGCGGGAATCGTGAGCTTCACCAGATCCCCCTCTACGAGCTCAAGGGGCTCCACGTCCCAAGCGTTGCTGGCCTAGCGGCCACATCCAACTGATGGCTAGAGAGGACGTAGTAAGAGAAATGGGCAGAAAAAGTGAAAGATAGTAGAAACAAACTGTCGATTCTAAGAAAAATTTGGCAGCGCTTCGCCTCCCTTCGTTGGGAGCCCCGATAATACGCTGTCGATGTATCTTCAATCTATCCCAAGAGTCCCCTAAAGTATCAAAGGGCGGAATTCCTGCCCTAAACAAAGCTAACAGGCCCTATAGTCAAGTTCCCTTGAATACAAAGCGTGTGCTCTGTTCGAGGGAACGTTGCCTGTGGCTGCTCCAGTCACCCCTCCGGAGTACAGATGTCACCCTCTATCTAAGAACCAAAATTAGAAGGTCGTCACCTTCTTTCATCTATTTTTCTAAGCCATTTTTTTATTTTTAAGGAACTCTAATAATTTAAAATTAATGAAATTACTTTTACTCTACAAAAACCTACTGGTTCTCCTCCACTGCCTAGGGGCATACAAGGTTTCCCCTAGAGAGTAGTGCGGCAAGTACGTTTCTCTTTCCGGTACACCCTAACTATTTATTTTGAATTTATATTGTATAAATACCAAATAAATAAATTTAGTTAGGAAAAATTCTCGTCGCTGCACCCAACCCCTAAAAGGGGGTAAGGGATCAAGCTTGTACCTTTTTCACTCTAATTCCCCTTTCCCTTTCCCTATCTAGGGAATTTTTCTGTGTTTTACTGTATTTAATTTATAAAAATTATGTTTATGCAAGATATACCCTGTTTCTTACCTTACATATATTTATATTCCTTATATATGTCTCTATGCAAATTTGTTTGATTTAAGAAGACCCCAGCAAATTTCTACGAATTTCCGAAAATTTCGGCGGCACTTCGCCTCCCCCCGTGGGGATGGGGCTTGGCCGAAGGCCTCAAAAATATTGCCGAGGGGGTGTATCAAAAAGATATAATTTTCGAAAAAATATTTTAAAATTTTAATTGATTTTTAAGTATTTTCTTTAATTATTTTATAATTAATTCGATAAAATACACAAAATTTCAGAAAATTTCCACAGCATTCACCCTCCCCCTGTTGGGATGGGGTTCCGGACTGTCGCCCCTAGCGCAACCGTCCAAAAGAAACAATGGGCGGATTTTTATATATATAACAAACTTTAATTAATTCTTTTTTGATATTTTAAGTATTTTCTTTCAATTAATTATAAGAAAATGCCGAGAAGGAAAAAAGCAAAATAATCCAGATATATTTCGCTCTGACTTTTTAGCTGCTCCTCGAGGTTGTTATCCAACCCTAAAACCCTAGATAAAACTTCTCCTAACTAGGGTTTCCCCTAAATAGGGTCTAACTAACTACGGTTTTGCAGCTTTGCGCGCAATCGCACGCTCTGTTCCAGCACACGCACTGTTCCAAAATTTCTCCGTCTACTACCCTCGATATTTGCAAAAACTTTGATGGATCACTGTCTCTTAATCCT